AAAAATATGAAACAACTCTCTGGGTTGAAAATCAGATACAGGTGCTCCTCTACTTAAGAACGTTCAACATACAAACTTTCAGAGATACAAACATAATCACTGAGGGGGTTACCTGCCAGAACAGGTGTTTAATGTGGATGAGACTGGATTATTTTGACAAAAATTCCAGATAGAACAAACATTACCTAAGAGGAGAAGAGTGAGCCAGGTTTTAAGGCTGTATTAAAGGGTGTAGCTGTACTAAATATCCATAAGCTTTTAATTTTTTACAATATGTTTGGTATCTACAAGAGTAAAGTTGGTCTTACAAACAATTGGACTTACAAACAAGCCTCAGGAACGTAACTCGTTCATAAGTTGAGGAGCACCTGTATACTGCAGAAGTCTGGTTGTCAACAACTGTTGTCACCGAGATGATTGTTATTTACTATAAAGTGTTATATGTAAGAAACCACAGAATTTTTCTTATAAATAAAGAAAAAACTATATTGTACAGCACTATAAAGATAAAAATAAGAACAAATAAGTGTAGGGGTATATTGTATGTGGAAGACGAGTGTTTATTTGGGAGCAGCTGGTGAGGGGAGGGTGGGTGGCTCCCTTCCCCTCTCCTCCAGGTTCCCTTAACACTTCTTTATGCAATTTCACCATAATTCTCATATAATATAGGTTCATTTGGTGTCAGGTTGATCAAATATTATTCTAAAAGAATCAGCTTTCCTGAAAAAAAGAATCTCACTAAACACCAGGAGTCATTTGTTTACAAAGGGGTAAACAGCGGATTGGCTTACCACAATGTCTGTCTTCAAACTTAATGAATTAGTACAGTACAGTCGTGTATTTATCATCACTTAATAAGTAATATTGTAGTGTACAGTATTATGCATCTGCATATACCCTGGTTTATTCATTAATCATTTGTCTAAGTCTACAAGTAGCCAAACTGAGTCATCATATAACACCCAAAGGTGGTAAATAACGTTGTTAGGAAGGTATCTTCATATCGAATACTATACAGTGTGTTATAGTGACCACTATTGTAAGCTGGTCTACTGTAGGCTCTCACATGAACACATCTTGAGTAAATAATCTTCTGATACAGCTTATCCTTTTATTTTCAAGTCATATTACAAATTACATACAGTCTTGTATTTTTCTCTGTTACTGAAGATGTTATATTAATCATGATGAACCATAACCGATAAGAGGCTAATCATATGAGAATATAATATTGAATCAATCAATAAATAAACCTGACGAGTGCAGTAACACCTGATCAGCCCCAGCCTGCTTACATACACGAGTGTCTTAGTTCTCAGAAGGCCTATAGCAAATCTGATGAGACTACTGTACAGTATTAAGTAAGTGTTGTTCATTTCAAAAGATTATTTTTATTAATCTTCCCCATTTCTTAAAACTTAGATTTTTTTTTTAGCATTTCTGGTGACCAGAGCATCTCAGGGCCAGAAAAAAGTGAATTCTGATATATTGAAGTCTGATTTATTTAGGTTTTACTGTACAGGTAATCATAATCGATTACCTAATCTTTGGAAATACCCTGTAATCATAATCGTGGACTTAAAAGATAACTGTACCTTGCATTTGTAATCGATTCTATTTGTGGAGGAATTGTAACATGTCTCATCAGACATGTCTCCCAGAATTATTTTTAATCAGTAAAACTGAAACATTGTATAAATTAAACTGTAAAAAAATGTTCTCCCAAATTCAAGAGGTTTTTAATGTTTCTTCTGAATTACCGTACAGGTATTCCTCGAGATATGAATGGGTTAGGTAAAAAATAAATAAAATAAAAAATAAATTAATTTGGTGAATTTTCATATCACAAATAGAAATACACGGGAAAAAAGGGGTTCAGTTCCCCAATGACAAAACTATCCCAATATCATACCTACAAAACAAGAAATTGGTTTACAAACGAGAACAAAACCTATCTACGTAACTAATGATAAATAGTACACAAAACTCTAATTTACTACCCAACACAAGAAATTACTCCCTAAAACATGAAAAAAGTAATTCAATACTGTACTGTTTAACTTTGGTACATTACCTTATGGGAGTGCATTCTGGGTTCACCACCACAAGGGGGTGAGCAGGGGTGGGCTGAGTAAGGGCCTCACTCAGCAAGATAAGGAGGTTTTTCATTTCATCACTGCTTTCTGCCAAAGACACTACAGTCACACCAGAGGTGGAAGGAGTGAATGAAAATTGTGGCCACAGTAGAAGCAGACAGACCAGGAGCTTTCCAAATCTTGGTTGGGCTATCACCACATTCTTGATGCTTAATTACCTACAGCTTTGTCTCAAGAGTCACAGCCTTTTGTGGTTTCTTCAGTGTTTTATGGGTAGCCAAAGATCCAGCAAAAACTTGGATGCCATAACTACAGGTAAAATGAAAGGATGGCACGAATACACACAGATAAAGAGAGATCACTTCACACACACAACAAATGGCAAATGGCAAAAGGAAAGAATTGCGCTTGTGGTAGATTTGGGAGGGGTGGGGGGTATGGTCAGTGAGCGAGAATATGTCTTGTGCATCTCTCCTCAAGATGATCACGTCAGCTGACTCACGGCGCGCGGAATTTGAATTTTCCCTTAACTCAAATACATATAAGAGAGGGAAGCTTTAATTTTTCGAAATAGTAGTGTTAATTTAGCTAATTTGTATAAGAGAACATTCGCACCTCAAATGTCCATATCTCGCAGGATACCTGTACACGAATTGTTGGGGGTATCTCCCTCAGGTCTATGCCCTTGGCCACATTCCTAACTGTGCATGGGGATGAGTCACAGATACACCACATTTCTTGACCAAAAGGCTGAATTTGATATTGGATAAGTGGTTATCTTACCAACAGAAGGGCTGCTGCAATGTTTCAAGGTTACAAAAGTGAAGTCAAAGATATGCAACTTGGCATCCCTCAAGGTGGCACACTTAGTTCCACCTTGATCAATGTACTCATGAATGCACTATTAAAGTCAATCCCAGACAGCCCCAGCAATATTACTATTAGCTATGACAGATGACAATGTGAAATGAAAACCAACCTGAACCATGTATAGGCATCCTGTGAGTCTTGGCCTGATCATCTCCACTGAGAAAACTAAAGTACTCAACAGACAAGCTATTAAATGCAAATTCAGACAATCTTTTAAATGAAGGTACTGTTACAAACACAGGTAATCTTTTAAATATCTCGCATCTCTATCCCCTGTATCTCATCTACCATACAACAGCTAACCTATTAATGTACTGACAGATTAAAACCCCTTTGGGTGCAGCCACACTAGCTTCCATTTTGTCTGAAACATGTGATTGAGAAGAAGAAATGAAGGTTCAATTCTTCTTATCGCTCACAAGTTTCAGACAAAATGCATGCTAGTGTGGCCACACTCTTAGATGTGTAGCAGGGTATAACCCACACTATGGTACTGATATATGAATTGTTAAAGCAATGTATCAAGGATCTCTGATAGATTATCATGCACTAAACCAAGTCCTTCATGATGGGAAAGGCATTGACAACCTTGAAAAAATACAAAATAAAGCTCTTATGGATCCAAACTACTGCTACACATAATTATGAGGATGTTTGGACTAGAAAATCTGTACAAAGCTGAGACTCAAAGGAAGTTGTTGCCACCCTAGTGGACAGTTCCCTTTGACATGACAACACCCACATACCCACCTAAAAGACTGACCACACACAATCTTTATTTCCAACATACCACCAAAGTGATAGCTCTTTAACCCTTTAGGTGCGTAATTAAATTTCGCGCCGGTTCCTGAAAAGTGTCAATTATCCTGCCAAAAATGAATTTCATATAATCACATTTTCTATATGTTTTTCCTAGAGAACTTTTAGTATATTTTCCAAATCTGGAACAAAAATTCACATATGTGTGCAAATTTTAGAGAAAAAATGACATTTATACCCAAAAATGCAGAAAATTGGTATAAATCAATGTCTAGTATATGGCAAATAAATTTAATCAATTTGGTTACTAAACAGCAAATTTAGATATGTATTACATATTCAGATAATATCAAACAAAATAGTACAAAAATAAGCTATATTGCATTCAGGAAATACTCCTATACCTCAATACATAATATGTCCGCATGTCGTCTCATTTGGGGAAGTTTTTTCAAGGCCGTGGGATATCCCCGCTTGTCGCATTTAATTAATATAATATTTTGGGCGGGTTTACCCGCATGCCGCATCCAAAGGGTTAATATGTACAAAACCTACAGACTGAAAATAACATCACACAGGCCAACTACACTGATGGCTTTCTAAACACTGTCTGCGGGAAGGCTGGAGGTGCTGTCATTGTGAATCAGCCTAACAGTAATACAATAAAGAAAGAAGCTAGAATTAATAATTGGGCACCCACTGTACACTGAACTGTTCTTGACAATCATTTTGCATCTACTCAATAGCTTGCTGATGGTTATGTGTTCACTTTTGCTGACTTGTTCTCCATGAGTCAAGGTGAAAACAATGTGCTTTAAAGAAAATGTGTGCTCCTGTGATTATGCAGGATAAATATAAATAGTATTTGTATAGCAATAGTTACAATTTAAGGAATCAAGGAAGTAAATTATGATGAAGTCTGAACCTTGCACAGAAGAGGTGGAATGACAATGACTGGCTGTTGTTTCAACAGAGACTGAAAGGAGGCAACATAATGGACAAAATTTCAATTGGAACCCTGAACAAGGAAATAGAGGTTAAAAAGAGAAAGTGTAGTAACAGATTGTCTGATATGAGAGGGAGATAAGGAGGAAGTGGAAGGCATTTTTAATAAAATGTATATAGTGGCTTTAAAGTGTACAGTATAATATTTAATAAAGAAGTATTCTATAAAACTGTCAGGTGCTATCCCAAATGTGAATATTCCATTTATGGATGGATGTAACTGTTCCAAAGGGTAAAAAATTGTTGAGAAGGAAAGTATGAAAAAGCTTAACAAGAGTACTTTTTTATAGTGCTAAGCTATAACATAAAAACTCTCCTAGAACAAAGAATATTTAAATATTAAGCTGGTAACTGTGTTGTAGTGTGAGGACAACCAGTGGGATAAAGACAAGTAACATCAAGGCAGAGTTAACTATGAGGTTCATGATATAAGTACTATAGTAGTCCTTTGTTGTTGGTACATCGCTCTCAGTGTTAGGGTGAGTCCAAGGTTGAAGGATTTCTCGCCAGCAAGTCCCTCCTGCACACCAACGGTCCTGCATGCCTTCCCAAAACCTTAAAAAAAGAAAGAAAAAAAACATGGCTGGTGTCTGCCAAATATTAAACGGTAACATGTATTATGAAACTTAAGAAATGTATTATATACAAGACCGACCATAAATTAAAGATTGTGGTACAAAATACTATTCAATGGCCTGCATGGAAGCACCACACCTAAAGATAGCATCAAAAAGGCAATACAGTAACTAACTTCTTGGGTGAGGAGTAACCATAATGGATGTAGTGTAAACAACACAGAACATGAGATAATGAACATGTGATGATGAATGTGTTCCTCATTAATTGAATACACCTAATAGGCTGACTGAAACTAAAATAACATTCAAATAGAAATGTGTCTACTAATGTAGATTTTCACACGACACTGCTAATTGTGATGTGAAGATGTGAACACAACTCTTACAAAACACTTCAATTGAAAGTACTGCACTTTCTCTAGTGATGATAAATATTTACAGAAAATTTCTTCGAACTGTACTGACACAAAAGTTATGTTCAGGACAGGATTCTGATCCCTGACCTTGAGCAGTGACATAATCCCATCCAATGTGGCTGGTGTGAAATTGGAGTGTACCTTAGTTGGCACTTCTGACATATTATGGGTTACTGTTCAGGATATGTCAGGGCCACAATCAACTGCCAGAGGTGACATGTACACATTGAATGGGTTAACATTTGAAATTTGGTATTCTGTACTTTGTTCAGTGACAATACATATTCATGTTCAGTTTATTCAGTGACAATACATGTTCATGTTAAGTTTTTAAATCTGACCTTCAGCAGGGACCTCGACATTCATTGAACCACACAACCAAACATGCACATCTGTACATCGTGACTAGACTGTCTTCCAAGCCTAAAGGGAATCAGACTGAAACTGAATAATATGAAAAAAGAAAAGAAAAGAAAAAAAATGCTAACCTTGAAAGTGTTGATGGTACTCGATGATTCATGAATGTAACACTAGTGGTCAGAGACACTGATCCTCCACTAAAACTGGAGCTAAACTGAATTTCTCGATAGTTGAATCTGCAAAAAAGTTTTAAGTGGGAATAAAGATTCAGAAAGCTTCCCATACATGCCACATATATTTTTCTAATTTTTTACACAGTACAAGTAATACTGTACTACAGGGTATTTTACAGAAACTCAAATTTTATGGAAACCTGAAGTAAAAATCATCACTGAAGATACAGACAAGAATTGATCACATTGCCCAGCACAGTATACGATGATCCTGTTCATTGGTGCAATTTTTTCTTTTACTTTTTTTCTATTGGGCATCCCCCTAGTACATCCTTGTGTAAGGTGAAGCGCAGAAGCATTTACAGCGCCCAACAGGGAAGCATGCTAAGTTCATGCTTGCCTTTATGTCTCATGAGTTAAGGGCATAGAAGCCTGAAGAGTCAATGGTTTATGTCTAAGTAAGTTATTGGAAGTTCCAACAACTTGTCCCTGAACACGAATTCGCAACTTTCGACTTACAGCAGGTACCTACTTTGCTGCTAGGTGAACAGGGACGAAGGGGACTAGGAAGAGTGTCCAAACAACTTCCTCTGGCCCGGGAATTGAACCCGTGACATCTTGCTTGCAAGGCAAGAACGGTACAACTCTACCACCAGCTTCCTCAACATTGGTGCAATAGTGGTGTGCAGTATATTGGTTTTTTTCATCAATGGCAATACTGTATGTTCAATCTGGCACATGACCCCTTCAATGAAATGCGCTGGAGGGAATATTAGGGTGTCTACGGTACCTTTACACAATCTCCAGTATGGCTGTACGCTACAAAGCGGCTACATGTCTAAGATGAACAAAACTTTCCAGTTACCAATAGTGTACAGATTTATATCTAAATGTCTTAATACTGTACAGTACTGTATCTGGTGGATTTGTTTTGAATAAAAATTAATTCTACAACATAGATTGTTAGCAGTGCTGGATTACCCAGTAGGCACAGTAGATGTGTGCCTAGGGGTCCAGTAAATTTAACTGTTACAGTATATGTTCAGCATTACTGAAAGCAAAAAGAATAGATAAATAAATAATAAAAATGCTTAAAAAAATCAGATACAGTGGGGTATGCTATAACGAACGGATCCTACTACGAATATTCCTATAACGAACGGTTTTACCTATAAAATTGAGAATGCTATAATGAACGAAACTCCTACAACGAACATTATTAAAAAAAAAATTTTTTTTTTTTACTAATTTATTGTTTTTTTATTACAAGTATTAATGATATTCTTTATTTCAGGGGTTTAGATGCATATTTATGCACTTTTTTTACAATTTTTACAATTTTATATTATATTTTTCAGTGTTAAGTGGTTGTATTTGGGGGCCTGGAACGGATTAATCCTATAACGAATGAATGCTATAACGAACAAGGTTCTAGAACCAATTAGATTCGTTATTGCATACCCCACTGTAGACATGTCTAAAAATTGATTGGGAATTTAATAACATATGACACATCACAGAATAGGAAAAACAAAACTCACCTGACATAGGTACCTATGACTTGGTACACAGGAAAGTTGTTTCTGGTGACATCAATAATATCTTGATAAAGAATTTCATATGACATAGAAAATGGAACTTGACAATCAGCACTGTTAAGAAGATTCATGTTTTCAGGGGTGTCCCTGAAACATAAAATATCCATTATATATCTCAAATTACAAAACAGTAAATAAGTCTGTCATGACTGTATAATGCAGAAGAAAAATCTTCTCAACTTATCCTTTACATGTTAATTATATATAATTGAAACAAAGCATATAAAGATACCCATAAATGAGGAAGATACAGATGATTATTACAGATAATGTTTCTAAGTACTTGTACAGTATTGGAGGTAAAGAATGAGGCAAGTACAGCTGTTGAGAAAGTGGAATGAAGTGAAACCTGCTCTATTCCAAACTGTAAAATATACAGTCAACCCTCGCTTTACGCGGTCCCACATTCCGCGTTTCCACGTTTACGCGTACCCTGCCGAAACAGGAATGCTCACATTCCGCGGTGCGTGTACCCCTTTACGCGGAGAGCGACTGGCGAGCCGCGCCATTTTTGGATCCAAACCTCCCGCCATCCGCCATGTTGTGTGAGCGGCGCGAGCATGGTGCGCACAAGGTCGCCCAGTCATCAAAACATTACCGAGTTCTTCACCCACCACCCACCACAGCCTGCCCAAGTCAGTGATAGTGATAATTATAGTGAGGATATGGACTTATATGGACTTTGAGGGGTTTGACAAAGAGGCCCTGCAAGCCTCTGTGGTGGATAGTGATACAATTGATACAGGTGAGGGTCAATAATCTGCCCTCTGCCTCGGAACCAACCGCCCATCCCCGTGTGCCCAGCCATCTTTTCAACTAATGTAAGTGTTAAAAAACCTAATATTATTGATATTTCTCTTAATTATTAATTGTGTGTGCATACCATCATAAAGTTAAGATAAAATGTTTACTACAACATAGTTGTGTGTTGTCAAAAAGTGGAGTTTGGGGGTCGGCCCGGTCTCTATTTCAATTAATCCCATATGTTATGTTGTTCACTTTACGCGTTTCTCACTTTCTGCGGTACCCTGTGGGTTGAATTAACCGCGTAAATTGAGGGTTGACTGTACTCTGATTTAAAGGCGAGTAACTTGTATGGATAAACAGGAACTAGGAGTACTAGTGAAATAATGCAAAAACAGAAACACCGAATAAAATTCGACTTACAAAATTGTGGGCAAAAAATCACTTTCTTCTGTTATGTTTGGCCACCCAAGTTTACTGACAACATCAGATCGAATCAGTGAGTAGAAAAGAGAGAGTATCTTCTCCCTGAAAAGCAAAATATATTCATATAAAAATTAGTAGTAGATTGATCCTTAAAACCCTGTTTATAATCAGTGATGAACATATTAGTGTGTTAAAGGCACCAAACTTCCATTACAGTTCAGTAGACCATTGCCATTCGTGAGTTTGCCATTTGCGATTTTGACAATTTGCGGAAAGCAGATGGTGGCTAGCTTGCATTTTCTTTCCCGCAGCACGAGTCACCCCACGCAGCATCTCGTGTTGTGCTCTCAAACTTTTAGTATTTGTGTGTGAAATGGCCCCTAAAAGACTGCCTAGTGTTAGTGCTAGTGATGCTAGTGGAGCGAAATGTAAAAGGCAGAAGTCAGTGATGGCCTTGACAAAGAAAGTTTTATTATTAGATAAGTTAAAAGAGGGAAAGAGTGCTGCCATGGCTGGTCAGTTGTTTGGTATAGGTATACAGTAGTGCACTAAGGTAGTATAAGTTGCTATTCGCCATTTTGCCAATTCGCGCCATTTCTTGGAACCTATCCCTCGCGAATGGCAAGGATCTACTGTATTCAAATTCAAAAGTAACAAACCTTAAGTCATCACAACTGTAAATATCCCTCCAAGAATAAAGACATGCAGATATCATATCGACTCCAAAGGTAATTACTTCTATCAGAGATTCTTTGCATTCTCCATTTTTATCTGTAATTGAGGAGAAACTGAGTTACAAGGAATACATCATTTACTCTTGTTTTTCTTTTAAATTACTTCTATTACTATTTTTCTCATTTGTCTTTAAATATTTATTACACATTCAAATCTAAAATGGTACATACCTGCAGAGAAAATACTATAATTATAAAGATTGCTTAGTCTTATAAAAAAGTGACAAATCTATCATAGGTCTTAGAAATAATACCTGCTACCAATCCCATTACAGGGCACTTGAACTTTACCCATAAGAGCTTGAGCCTCAAAGACACAGTATATGCCTGCTTTTGTGGAAGAGGGAAAGAATTCAGGAAAGGATTCTTTGCAACCTAGATATATCTTCATTCCAACATGAGGAACCCATACACATTACCTGAAGTGGCTGACCTAAATGAAGTACAGAATGCACCTCCAATAAATTAGGATACTGGTACACAAGACGAAGTCTGAAGGCATTTCTCATTAATATTCATCCACAACTTTCTTCCCCCACATGAATTGTCATCCACACAACCAGAGCCGTCCCAAGGGTATGGCAACCGGTGCGACCGCCCCGGAGCCCCGTGGCCCTTACCCCACCCAACTCCAGAATTAGTGACTGCGTTAAGCTGACCTCACCTTACCACCCAGATTCAGGAGACCACCTGAAGGATTAGTGACCAGCACAGTTAGGCAATTCTGCTGACATGAGGTCAAAGGTAAGATTAAGACACCCCATCTTACCACCCAGACTGAGAACAATGTCATTCTTTACTGTGCTCTGTCGAAGAGGAGTGAGGACGTTGACAGTGGTCACCTGTTAGTGTTGTCGAAACTCCAGTTGTCTGTGATTTGTGTTTTGTGAAATTGTTGATATACATTATTTCACTATAGTACACATCTCGCGTTTTTTATTATACCATGGCCAGCAGGGATAGAGACAGATACAGAAAATACATCTCGGGTGCAGAGAAAAGGCAGAAAAAAAGGAAGAGAGAAGAAATCAAAATGTCAATGATAAGTTCCCAAGAAAAATATGTGCTTTCAAAAACACCAGAAACTAGTGCAAAAAGGGACCTGAGCGACTGTGATGGTGATAGTGTGGGTCATATTCAAGTTGAGGAAGAGGAGAGTACCGAAAAAATGCTAAGGCTTTTAAAATGGACAGTTCTACCTATGCTAATGGGCATGATGATAAAGATTTATGTGATCCAGCCAAATGACCACATTTACTGGACACTACGACAATTGATATTTTGGTAGAAAAGGGACCTGTTAAGGTATCTAGTGAAAATTATGTTTCCAAAAAATGGTGAAATTCGACACTTTTCAGAAGACTTTTTCATGCGAAGAATGCCAAATGGGGAAATATATGAAAGATGTTATAACATACCTGTAGTCCATAATACTTGGCACAGTAATAGTATGATTTCATCTCCCCCCAAAACTCCCATGCGGTCATTTTATTCCCTCCAAAAAGGTCGACTCCAATTCACCCACTGTCTCACTGATCAATTCGGCAAATTCACATGGGTAACCTTGGGCGTGCGGCATGGTGATTGGAAGAGGCAGACTCGCCAGTTATGTGGATGTTATGCAATGAAAATATATTTCAAATGAAATTCCGCAAATAGTTGAAACCACAAATAAATAATCCATGAAGAACGAGGGTGCAATGCCCATTATACTAATATCAGTAGTGCCTGTTGCCTTCTCATTAGCTCTCTATGCTTTTGCTGTGAAGTTTACATTATACATATACTTTGTATTTTTGGGTCTTGTGTCATGGCAGGGTACACCAAGGTTAGGTAGTTTGGGTTAGGGTGCTAATATTTCAGCTTATATGGAAAGGTTGCTGAGGAGCACTGTGTCATCTGGTGTTAGGGAGCTTCTTTAGTTATAGAGAGAAAAATAAAAGTGTAATTCCTCCGCCCGACTTGGTTTATTCTTAAGATAAGTAACAAGTTTTCTTCTATAGATGTTTTGTGGGTAAAGTTTTACTTTGGGACAACATGGAAATCTTAGGAATTTTATCTTTGTAATCAATAACTTAGAGCCAAGGGTGCTCAACCCATGGTCTGAAGGCCGCATGTGGCCCTCAGTGAGGTTTAGTACAGTCCTCGAGACTATTAGAAAATTAAATAAAAAATCAATAAATAAAGGCTTTGTTTTATTTCTTAGGAATTAATTTGAAGTTTTCTATTCAATAATAAAGCTTTGTGTATTTGTTCACAATTTGACAATGTTAATGCTTAATGATCATTATTTTTAATGTGTGGATTAATTATTTAATTTTTATACCTTAATCCACATTAAGGTCAATGTGTGACCCTCATTATGCATTTGCCCATCTAATGTGGCCCACTTATGCAATAAGGTTGAGCGCCACTAGTTTAGACAATTCTAAGACACTTTTCTACTGTGACATTTCCCTTGCAAATTACCTAAAATGATCTAAACTTACCTAACCTCCTAACCGAACAGCTCTGTGGCATATACAATATTTTCTCTATTTAACAAACTAATTCGAGCCATCCATTTCCGTCAAATCGAAATTTCCACTAAATCGAACTTTCTGTTACTTTAGCTTGATTTAGCGAACTAGTTCACTAAATCGAGTGATTCCGTTAAATTTCCGCAAAATCGAACTTTCCATTATTCTCACTTGTTTCAATAAATGAATAAAGTTACATATATGAGCCAAAAATAGTTGAAAAACTTTATGTAGACAGAGCTTGGATGGCTAAATTTTAGAATGACCAATAATTTTAATACTGTATAAAAAATGCACAAATATTAAAGAGCACAATTCTCTTGATATTTACTCCAATGGAAACGAATCTAAACATAGAAGAGATTACTGAATTGGCTGAGTACTTCCTCAGCTTATCAGCTGATGTTCAAAACAAATCGTGATTTTCGTAATGATTTCGTTAATCGAATTTTTTTTCGTTAACCGAATTGAAGATCTTATGGAAGGTAATTGTTAACCGAAATTTCGTTAACCGAGGCGTTCGTTAACCGAGGGACCACTGTGTGTGTGTGTGTGTGTGTGTGTATATATATATATATATATATATATATATATATATATATATATATATATATATATATATATATATATATATATATATATATATATATATATATATGCATACACACACACACACACACACACAGTGGTCCCTCGGTTAACGAACACAATTCATTCCACAGAGTCTTTTGTTAACGGAATCCATTGTTTCAATGGGATATTGGGTAATTGGTTCCAGCTCACAGAAAAGTACAAACAAAGTAAAAAAAAAATGCAGTAAAGTACACTTACTTTGAGGTGTGTATGTAGAAGGTTCTTGGTTGATGATGGGAATTAGAAGTGGGGGTGGAGAAGAAGGGAGAAGAGAAGGAAGTGGGGATGGAAGAGAAATCACCTTTCAGGGGACCCATGCTTGATGCAGTAATTTCACCAATAAAATTTTAAGTTCACTAGGTGTAATTCAAGATTATTTTATTTAAATCAACACTGCACTGCACTATATATTATCAATATGTTAACTAAATTTAAGAATGACCAATAATTTTAATGTAAAAATGCAAAAATATTCAAGACACCATCAAAATCGATGTTCACTCCACTGTCAACAAAGCCAAACTGACGCCTGGTGGCTAAGTCAAGCAGCTGATGGGCACACAAAAAAATAATTCCCTGTACAGTACTGCATATATTATCAATATGTTAACTAAATTTTAAAATGACTAATAATTTTAATATAAAAAATGAAAAAATATTAAAGAGCACAACTTTCTTGATATTTACTCCACTGGAAACGAATGTAAACATAGAACAGATTACTGAATTGGCAGACTAGCCCATCAGCTGATGCTCACAACAAAGCTTGTTGTTCGTAAGGATTTCGTTAATCAAAGTTTTGTTCGTTAACCGAATTAAAGATCCTTATGGGAGGTAATTCGTTAACTGAAATTTCGTTAATCGAACTGTTAGTTAACTGAGGGACCTTTGTATATATACAGGTATACTGTACCTGGTTTGACCAATCACGTTAGACCTAGCTTAAGATCAAGTTAGCCAAACTCTTTCTACTCTATGGTCTATGGCACTGGTGGGGGTAACTTGGGAAATACAGAGCAATGCTGCAAAAAAATTAATGTATTTTATACCTTTTAAATCTCACAAACCAAAGAAATTTTGACACTAGTACTTGGATAACAAATATTTAAGATAATAATAATGATAATAATAATAAAAAACGAATGCAGCAAGAGACTAAAGTTGCTAACAATACATTTTGACATAATACAGAAGTTAAATAATTATATAATGTAATACGAAGTGCACAATCAAACAGTAATGTCCAAATTATAAAATAAAATAAGGTAAACACAGTGTCAAAAGCATGAGGCTCTATTTTTAAGGACAATACTGTAATTAAAATTCATGGAGTATTAGCCACGTTTCAAGAATTTCAAAGGTCTTTGAACAGTTATTTCACAACTTAAGGAGTTTTAAAGGAGATTCAATAGAGTATATAAACCACTGGGATACATGAGAGGGAGAAAAGGTTAAAGACAGTAATTACTGGGACACATGAAGACAAAAAATAGCTACCGGGTAGCTACAACAAATGCTGGAACATGAGGAGAAAATCTGGGGAGAAAGAATGAATGAACAAAGCCATTAATACACTGGGAATACTGTACATGAAGGGAAAGATGGGTGTAGGAATGTTCCCGGTGGAGTGATGCTGGTGTGGATTTCAAGGTTGATGAGTTGTACTCCCCACCACAGAGAAATAGGGACAGGAAAGATGTGAAGGAAATACAGTATATCGGGAAAAATGAGAGAGGGAAAATGGGAGTATGAAAATGAGAAAATTATGGTACCATGAGAGGGAAGGAGAGGAAAGAGAGAAGGTAATATACTTGAGCCCCTGAAGGCAAAGAACAATAAGAGGGGAGGGAAGGAAATATATAGTACAGTACAGACTGTATATAGAATAAACCTAGTGATACAGGTACTTAAGGAGTTGATACAGAGTGGGAGAACACACTCTGAAGAATATCAATAAATGACTCAACCACAAGTCTTACCTGGCCTCCAGATATAGAGTCCTGTTGTGTTATTAATAACTACCAGCACAGAGTTGTTGATAATAGTATTGTTATCATCTGATGTAACGCTGTGCCTGAAATTAAGTAAATTAAACAGTTTAATTTAAATCCCATATACAGTACTGTACTGATAAATAAAAAAATAAATATATCATTTACTATAATAACTTTAACTACAATTCAGTGGGTATTTTATTTATTCACATGAATATTAAAATAAACCATTACTATGTGCAATTTATAGGAAGAGAGTAAGCATACGGAAACACTAAATGCAACTTTGAAAAATCAACAGCAAAATCTGCAAACAATAAAATAAAATTTTACATTTGTTGAACACTAGCAGTAATTTGGAGCAAAATGCACTGTGAACTTGGTTATTCTGCCTTCGGGGATGAATTTCACAAACTTGCAAAAATAATGTGATCGATACATTTTCTCATATTCTATAATGCATTCCCACACTGTAAGTGGGTGGTGTTATTTGTCTTATGATCCACATACTACATCCAAATATACAGTGGGACGCATCTTATTTTCTGTTCTCCAACTTCCACCAGCTCTGCCCAATGTTTCATGAATGATCCTTAATGCCTTCTCTGAGGTGATCATTCTCCTAAAAAGTGATAATCTCTCTCCTGCTTACACACATATACAGCAAGTCCCAATTTCACACGATTTCACTATAACCAAATTTGGCAGTATGAGAACACTTCAAATTACATACAGTGGTCCCTCGGTTAACGAGCACAATCCGTTCTAGAAGGTTGCTCGTTAACCGAAAAATTCGTTAACCGAAACCATTGTTTCAATGGGTTTTTGGGTAATTGGTTCCAGCTCACCGAAAATTGCCTAAATTCAACAAAAAAGGTATAAAATTACACTTACTTTGAGGTGTGTATGTAGAAGACTCCTGGATGATGATGGGAATTAGAATGGGGGTGGAGGAGAAGGGAGAAGAGAAGGCATTGGGGTGGAAGAGAAGTCACCCCATGGTGCCAATTCACCCATAAAATTTTAGTTCTCTTGGTATAATTCAAGATTATTTTCTTTAAATCAACACTGCACTGAATTATATATTGTCAATATGTAAAATAAATTTCAAAATGACCAATAATTTGCTTGCAAACACAGAAAAAAAGCGTTTAGTTGAAGTCTCAAACAAGATGTTACCTCCACTGAAAAGACACAAAGACTGACGCCTGTATGCTGTGTTGGCAGGCAGGATGGCGTGCCACAAACTAGTGACCCGACCTTCAATTATGTTCAATAATTGTTAAAATGACTAAAAAATTTAATGTTAAACTTTTAAAATTATTGAATAGTATAAACTTCTTGATATTTAGTAAAAGGGTAAGGAATTTAAGCCATAGAACCGATTACTGTATTGCCAGACTAATACTACAGCTGGTGGACCGCCAAATGCAAGCTAAAACATGTGGAGGTCGGCTCGTAAGAAACTCGTTAATTGAGGGATTGCTCGTTAACCGAAGTTAAGAATCTTATGGAAGGTAACTCGTTAACCGAAATCTCGTTAACTGAGACGCTCGTTAACCGAGGGACCACTGTATTTTTTTGTTGCAATACAGTTGAGAACTAGTCCCTAAGAAACCATCCATGATTCTCTGCATTTTGTAGTCCTTTACAGGCACAAGTGTTATTGTGCTCATGTATTTGAGTGATCAACCAAGTTTATCCTGATGTATCTATATTATCCCTTAATAATCATGTGTGAAAAATGTAAAGCTAGAGAGAGTCATGCCTCTACACCCAAATGAAAAAGTAAATGTATTTCTTTGGAAGTGTAATAAAAATTTTCTTACAGCAACATGTGCTCCATGCACACCTGACATACACTCAGCTGTAGTTCCCTGCATGTAGATAAAAAAATTCTGTGATTAAAGACTACTCTAGAGATTAGGATATTTGAATTGGTTCTTAAGTAAAGCTATAAATTCCACCAAATCTAACTTTTATAACAATAAAGTGCCAAGTGCTCAGGAACATGATAATAAAAAATATTTAAAACTATATTACCATGTAATAAAGCTACTGTATATCCTCATTATTGACAAATTTGAATAATGAAGATCAAAATCAAAAGAAAATAACATTCAGCTTTCCTAACAGAGGGAGAAACTTCATCAATGTGTATCAAAGCCTGTCTCCGAAAGGAAATCCTAGAGTGTACAAAATTCCTAACAGGCAATGTAATAAAATTTATATCGGTCAAACTGGCTGTAATTTAAATACAGTATAGTCTGTATTTACGCGGCTTTTGTTTACGCGTTTGGTCATTTACGCGGTGCCTTGCCAGAATGAAAATGCTTTAATTACAAGGTAAATTTGGTCATTTACGCGGTGAGCGGCTGGAAAGGTCCAGACAGCCGTGCCATTTTTTACCCACGTGGTCCATTCTTGACCATACGCGGGAAGCGGTGCGGTGAGTGGTGCGCATTAGGCCGCTCTTACGTTATCGCTGACGTCATATGATGTATCGGACTATGATTGGGCCACGCATCCTTACCACCCACGTATTCCCTCCACCGCTAGCTGTGATTGGTCTAATGTAACATGACGTGCCCTGCCACCAGAGGGTAGAAGTCGCTGACCTAGCAGGGCCTGTCTCATTGTTCTCAGTCCCCGTATACAGCTCCCTCTTGTGCTTGCTATTCCCCTCACAACTCACAATGGCTTCCGCGGGACACCCACCACCAGAGAAAAACATTGAATTACCTGGACCAAGCCATGATAATGTGAAGGAAATCATCGAGTTGGGGGAGAAACTTAAGCTCATCCTTGACAACGACCCAGACACGCATCGGTATGAAGTGTCTAATAACCATCTGACGAAAGTTATGGAGCCGTATATCCAGATCTATCTCGACAACATCAATGCTAGTCGTCAACGTAGTATTGAGGACTTCCTCGCCTGCAACCCACCACAACCACAGCCAGCCCAAGTCAATGATAGTGATATTGACAATGAGGATATGGACTTTGAGAGGTTTGTCTGGGAGGCCCTGCAAACCTCTGCGAGAAGTGAAAGTAAAAGAGATTCACCGGAGGGCAACTAATCTGCCCTCTGCCTCGGAACCAGCCGCCATCCACGTGTGCCGACCCAGCTTTTCTACTCACGTAAGTGTTAAAAAACTTAATATAATTGATATTTCTCTTAATTATTAATTGTGTGTGCATACCATCATAAAATTAAGATGTTATTTTTACTACAAGGTACGTATTGTGTCGGAAAAAGTGGAGTTTGGGGGGTCGGCCCAGTCTCTATTTCAATTAATCCCACATGTTCTGTTATTTCATTTATGAGTTTCTCGTTTTACGCGGTACTCCACGGGTTCAATTGACCGCGTAAATGCAGACTATACTGTACCAGAATAATTGAACATGCTGTGAGATATGGACAGGAGAATTCTGCTATCTTTAACCATGTTGAAAATGAAGGTCATGTAATAGATTGGAATAATACATCTATGATTACTTTTACACCAAACTTTAACCTGGCATATGGTCAGAGTACCCCAGACCTGATCCCCAATAATGTCATCAAGAAGACTCCTATGTCTTTCTCCCTTGCTTTGTATTCCTAGTTGGCTGAACAGGGTCCTAGTGTTTGTACCGTAATATACCAGCTCCAAGATTTCGTCTTTTATTTCTCCAATTAATTGATTGATTGATTGTGGTAATTACATCCCTGGCGATACAAGAGCTTAGGTTATATGCTGCCAAATTACAATGATAGCTTAGAAGGCTAAAATCAAATAATGAAAGGTAGAAAACAAAGAACTTTCATAAAAAACATTTAAATGTTAATAGATGACACTCAAAGCTTGTGTAGAATGCCAGCTTCCTCCATGAAGGAGAGGACCTACCCTCCCACGCCACCCCCCTCCCCCTAGCACCAAGATTAATCCCGGGCATTAGGAACCTTGAGTATAGAAACAGGTTAAAGCATCTTAATTTGCACTCCCTCGAGAGATGTAGAGCGAGGGGCGACCTGATAGAGGTGTATAAGTGGAAGTCAGGGCTAAGCAAAGGGGACATTACAAAGGTACTCAAACTATCCAACCAGGAGCGAACTCGTGACAATGGTTTTAAATTAGACAAATTTAGATTTAGGCGTGAAACAGGTAAACACTGGTTTGGAAACAGAGTAGTGGATGAATGGAACAAGTTACCAAATATCATCATTAACTCGAATAAGCTGAATAGCTTCAAACATAGGTTGGATGCTTATATGAGCAATAGGGGTTGGGTGTAAACGGGACTGCCCAGTATGGGCCAATAGGCCCGCTGCAGTTTCCTCCATTCTTATGTTCTTATGTTCAAAGAGAGATGGTAAGACCCGTCTCCTCTCGGCACTCTGATAGGTGCTTACAACATAGGTTTCTAAGAATGGGGCACTCCACTAGGAGGTGTCAAACAATCCATGGGACTGGGCAGTCATCATAATGGGGAGGAGGATGCCCTCTTCATTAAAACACCATGAGTCAGTAGCATGTGGCCAATGTGGAGGCAGGCCAAAGCAGTCTCCCAGTGGTGCAACAGTCCCTGGCATACCCAGGAACCCAAATCAGGGTGAATGTCGGGGAGCTTGTTTGCTCCGATAGCATCCCACCTGCATTGCCAACTTAAGTGGATGGCAGTTCTTATTATTGGCTTAATGTGAGAGGCAGGTAGAGGGGAATGATGTGTCACAGGGAGAGAAGCAGCTGCTTTCCCCACAGCATCAGCACACTCATTCCTCTTCTCCCCCACATGGGGAGGAAACCAAGCAAAAACTGACATTCCGGGGCACTGAAGTTGAATGAAAAACAGCCACTCTAAAATAACCATACGATTTGTACTGGTATTAACATTTAGAGCAAATGTTCAAAGTTCTGCCCCTCTTGCTCAATGCAGGCTTCAGCCCATCACACATGTTTAAAGACCCCAGGGGTGTTGCGAATTTTTGTCAAACAGTCCTGCACATGGCGCCACAATTCCTCATGGTTTGGGACCTCTGTAACAGACACCTAGTTTTTTATGTGACCCCACAAATAGAAATCAAGGGGATTTATGTCAGATGACTGTAGGTTTCATCGCATTCCTACCAAACCTATCATGTGCTGTAACTCCGAAACTACTGAGAATTTACAATTTGGTGACGCACGCACACACACATGCACACACACACCACATTGCCTGCATATATAAATACTTACATTATATAACCACTTATGATGGGCTTTCCTAGTTTATAGCCAGGATTGCCTGACCTCTCAGATATATTTGGGGAGTATTCCAAATCCTCAACAACATCCGCATCTTGGTTATCAAGACTGACCATTAATTCTGATGTAGAATTTGAAATATCTGATGGCTTCACATGGTGGAAATTTATAACAAAATGCTGGAGGAGAGATAACTTTGAGCTGGCAGAAGGAACAAATTTCATGGTCTTATATGATGCATACTCAGGTTTACTAAATACATGCTTGTCTTGCAGCAACTTTCTGTCAAAATCACTGAGATAGTTACCATACAGGCCATCTAAAGATACTGCCACATTTCCAACTTTAATTTTAGCATGAACTTCAGATATGGAAGGTCCTCTCCATCCTATGTTGTATTCCACACTAAGCACTACGTTCTCACACATCTGAGATACGTCATTGTAAAATGGAATATTAATGCCATCACACTCTACTGCAGTGTTTTCTTTGTCTGTGCCCCAAAAGTGATTTGGGAGTTTTGGTACAACTTTATTTACTCCTTGTACTTTGATGAACTGTTTTGTATCTTGCAGGCATTTATATTCCACTGAGGCATTGACTGTCTGTAGAGTAGTAAGATTGCTAATGACTTGTGGAAAACCTTTAAAAGGATCTCTGATTATTTTTTCAGCATTTTGAAGATATGAAGCTGTACTCAAAAGAGGTTCTGTTTTACATATCTCTGGGGACAATGGGAGCGGACATTCATGGCTGAAGTCCTCAAGGAAGTAAATAGGAATTGTTTTAATACATATACCATTCAAAACTTGTTGTGGTAATGACAAAACTCCTTCAGCTATTGTATCATTTGCCATAATAAGTGTTTCCACACTTGATCCTAATATATAATAGGGATGATATTCTTGATCCTGATTATGGGGGATAGTATCTTCATAACTATACACAGGCCTCTGAACTCGTAGAAAATATATCTGAACAGAAGGTTCAGGTTTGTAAAACAATCCTAAGTAAGGATTATTTTCAGTTAAGAAACACAAGAAATTGTGCCATTCTGGTGAATAAGGTCCTTGATATTTACAGTTGTTATCTACTGTCTTATCTGTTGCTTGACCACCATCCAAGCCTTCCAAACATGAGAAAGTTGTTGTATCAAATGAAGAACAATCCTAGAAAGATAGAAAAAATACCATTAAGTTTCCACTTAATCAATAAAATGTATTTTGAAATGATATATCAAGACTGTTTGTCACTTAGTGTGCAGATGAATGATGGCTTATGAAGTATTTATACTGTATGCGAAAAGGTTGTCATTGTGATCTACTAAACCTGTAATGTATGAACTTTTCTAAAAGTAGTGACAGGGGAGAGTGAACTTATGCAAGTTGGGCTGTAAATTCTATCTACTAAATAATTAACTTCTAACCATAAGGAAAACCTACTTATATGGTAGAAAACACCGTAACCGAATTCAGTAAACCCACACTACGTTGGGGGTAATGTGTCCATATAGTATAGGCTACAATAATGTTGACTATGTTATTCATGAGCATTAATCCTAAGGCAAAAACAGGATTGAGTTGTGAAACCAGTTAAGCCACAACACTGGTGACACTTACAACATACAGTATCCACGTTGGGAATTTTGGGTCACTGTACAAGAATGTCACTTACATTTTTTCTAAATTAGTGTTGAATATAGATATCTACTCTAAACTGTCCCCAAAGTAAAAAGGAAATTCCAAGTCCATAGATACTCTCCTGAAGGTTAGGTGACACACACACACTGCATTATGGTCATGGGCAGCAGGACATTAAAAATAGTCTTCTCTCTTGTAAGCCAAGTTTTTTTTTTTTTTTACAATACAGAATTAATTTATCATATTAGTTAAAGGTAACAGTTTCCTGAGACTTCTCAGTAACTGATTTCCAGATTTATATGGTACTGTACTACTGTAATTATAACTATTTCCTGTCTATACAGTATACTGTATCTACACTGTACCCTTGTTAATTCAGATTGTTACAATTCTGATTTCAGCTTAATTCGTATGTTTTTTTTTAAATAAATTAAATGATTTGAATTCAGAATGAATTCAAAATAACCGAGCTGTTCTGAAACATCACATGGCAAAGGGCTTGAAAATTCAGGCACGTCACTCGTGTTAACTATGATCACATGGCTCCCAGGGTGGGTTTGAAATTTCAGTCTTGTCAACTGAACTGTGCTCTCGCAGCTCCCCATGCAGGATTGGGTGATGCTGCTATCATGTGAGAGTGGGTCACCAGCGCAGGTGGTGCTGCCACCTCATCAGCTGAGATTCTTAGGGTTTTAAAGTAGATGTTTTTTAGTTGATTTGTTAATTAAAATATTAAAGACTGAGGAAAATCAAACCATAACCATCAACAATCTGACAGCTCACTGACCATCCAATTATTCTGAGAGGTGTGATATGGAACCATGGTAAGCAATACTATTTGGAATAGTCCAGCCAAATAGAAAGATATATATATCCAGGATGCCAAATCCACCGGACATTGCCCATTAAAGTACCTGTAAGAGAGAGTGAGTGAAGCAACATTGTGGCAAAGACAAAGGGAAGAAAGGACCACTCAACAACTTATGCATAATGTCCACACCCAATGAGAACTACCGGTATTTCAAGATAATCCTAGGCTGATCTATAACCATGTTTCTTCAATGTCAGAGAGGTTGCTGGCTGCCATAGATTACAATGGGGGTTGGATTAAATTCTGACTATTATCTGTTCTATGCATCTGCTTTATTGGAAATATTACATACAACGAATTATTTTGGGTCAATAAATGTTGCATGCAAATTACATTTTTAAACCTTACTTTGAACATAAATTTATCCCCCCTCTCAGCCTCTTTTAACTTTATTATTTCATCTAGGTAGCACTAGACAATTACACTCAGTTGAGGAAACCCCGTCAGTATTGTCAAAGCATTATTCTACAATGTAATCTCTCCTAACTGATAAGCACTTTCTATCCTCACCCCAGGAGAAAGACACCTACTTCAATACAGTACACCCCTTCCCCTCTCCCTCCTGCTCACTAGTGAATGCTTCGAATTCACACTTCAGAGTTTGGGGTTCATACTTCAGGGAGAGAGAGGATTGGCAACACTATGTGATAAATACAAATGCAGCCAACAGTACACATAACTCACCTTGTCACAACAACAATGGGGGTCACAGAAGTGTGAAGTTAGGTCACAGGGGCAAGGACTAAGGGGCTTCACCGCTGGGTTTTCCATGTGACTCTCAGTACTTGAGCCCACTATATCTGCTTCAGTCCAGTTGATAGCAAGATGTTCTCCATGTGCTGAAATATGGTAAGCTGGATTCACTCTGTACTGTATGTGGTATTTCTTGAAATGTAATGGTCATTATTGCTGCACATTTACTATCATAACCTTGAGTTACTTATGCAATACCAATAAGATCTTTGGTGACTTCACACAAGTCCCTTAAGCCTACCTGTAATCACACTAACATGTGTGTGTCTTGATCCTTATGACTAAGCTTTGTAAGGGGGCGCGGAAGTTTTACTTGTGCAATGAAATGTAATGTATACAGTATTCCATTTATGTGTTTGCCCTTAAGACGATTATCTCTTTTACCAGTAATGTGTATATGCGTGTGCGTGTAGACATGCATACACAAAACACATACAAATAAATAATAATGGGAAAATCCTCTCACAAACAGTCAGAGACAAGACAACACAATTTAGAATAAATGAAAGAATCTACCCTCAAGTCAACTCCATGCTTTTTTTTTTTAACAAAGCACCGAGTTGACTTGAGGGTAGACTCAAATTTTTAATACATTTTGTTGCCTTGTTTCTAATTATTTGTGGGAAGATTTTCCCATTACAGTTTGACAACCCTTTATCCGAAATTCCGAAAAAAGAAAAGCTCTGAAAACCGAAAGTTTTTGTGGGGCAAAACTTTTTTTTTTTTTTTTAAACCAGGGAGTAGCCCACCAGGGCATAGATCACTGACCCACATTGGGGCCTGGGGGACGAAAATGTAATAGTAATAATAATAGTAATAATAATTATAATAATAATAATCATTCATAGTAAATAAAATTTTTAATAAAAAAATACACCAAAATAAAATAATAATAATAATAATAAATAATAATAAAATTAATAATAATAATAATAACAATAATACTGCATTAATAAAATAATAATAATAATAATACAGAAATTCAAGAATGAAAAAAGATCAAAAGTGAGAAACACGACCTAGACCTATGAATTATTATTACAAGTATTATTAATTATTATTATAATTTTTATTATACAGGCCCCAACAGTGACTTGAGCCTGGGTGGGCTATAAAAAAAAAAAACTAACCATTCTGAAAACCGAAAAATTCCGAAATCCAAAATTCCTCTGACCCCAATGATTTCGGGTAAGGGATTGTCAACCTGTATTATTTATTTGTATGTGTTTTGTGTGTGTGTGTGTGTGTCTACACGCACACACACATCGGAGGGTCAAGGCATAAGTACATATGGAAATAAGGAGTCTGCAATAGGTCGGTTAGCCTGTGCATGGCATCTCCTGTCGAGAGTTACAACCACTCTCTATCGTCCATGAATCTATGTAGCCTCCCTTTAAAACTTTCCAGCATCCCAGCACTTACTACGAAGTTGCTAAACTTGTTCCACTTATCTACCACCTTATTTGTGAACCAGTTTCTACCTATTTCCCTCCCAAACCTAAACTTATCCAACTTAAATCCATTCCTACGACTCCTATCCTACTCGGATTTAAAAGAACTTTATCTATATCTCCTTTATTGATTCTTTTCACCCACTTAAATACTTCTATCATATCTGCCCGCACTGTTCGTCTTTCTTGGGAATGCAAGTTTAGTTTCTTTAATCTATCTTAATAGGGAAGGTTTCTAAGTCCCGGAATCATTTTCGTCATTCTTCGCTACACCGACTCCAGTGAATTGATATCCATTCTATAATAAGGGCACCAGAACTGAAAAGCATAATTGAGGTGCGGCCTGACTAGTGCAAGATATAACTGCAATATGACCTCCACACTCTTATTACTTACACTTTGAGATATAAAACCTAATACTCTGTTTGCCTTATTTCGAACATAAACGTACTGTTTTCTAGGCCGAAGGTCCGGGCTTATGAGTACCCCTAAGTCTCTTTCACAAGTCAACTTCTCTAGGTTGACGTTGTTAAGGCTGTATACATTGATAGTATTTGTTCTTCCAATATTAAGTATGCTGCACTTGCTGGTGTTGAATTTCATTTGCCATTTTTCTGACCACTCCTGCAGTTTATTTAAATCCTCCTGTAGTGCATTTGGATCCTGCCCTGAATTAATCTGCCGCCCTATTTTGGTGTCACCCGCAAACTTGCTTATGTCACTGCTGATCCCAGTATCTAAGTCGTTTATGTAGATTACGAAACAAGAGTGGGCCCAGTACTGACCCCTGGGAAACCCCACTAGTTACACAGACTTATTCAGATTTAAAACCATCAACGCTGACCCTCTGTGTTCTATCGGTGGGTCATGATTTTATCCAATTTAAAACTTTCCCCTCGATACCATGAGCCTTAACTTTTCTCAGAAGCCTCTGATGTGGTACTCTGTCTAATGCTTTGCTTAAGTCTAAGTAAATAACATCGTAATTTTTGTCATTATCTACTACCACATAGACTTTCCTAAAAAACGTCAGCAGATTTGTTAGACAAGATTTTCCCTTTGTAAATCCATGTTGAGAGTCGTAGATTAATTTGTTTTTCTCTAAATGCGATCGAATGCTATTTGCTATAATTGATTCAAGAAATTTCCCCATTACTAACGTCAAACTAATCGGCCGGTAAATTGACGCTGATGAGGCCCCCCTTGGCTATGTTCGGCCATTCCTCAAGTCCCTCTCTACAACCACCCATCCTAACCACCGGGATATCAACATAATCAAATGTGACAATTTCGTTTCAGAAAGAAGTGGAATCAGAGTTGAACAGTGTTTAAACCAGTGAATTCAGCACTAGACAGTACCAGCAAGAGCCGTGACCCACCAGTGAGATAAGCACCACTGGGAACCAACCACTATCTTCTGAACAGGCGGTGTTCATCACTCCACCCTAGGAACAACAGTGGGCCGGCTTTACACCTGACTACGAGATAACACAACACCACCTAGCAGAGTGAGGTACTGTGACACAACCCCACACCACCCGGTGTCTCCTTGACCATGTGAGGTCCTTCATATTAACACCCGAGGACGAGTTACTGCACCACGTGAACACCACACTACCCGGTGTCTCCATGACCATGGAGGTCCTTCACATGAACACCTACGAACGAGTCACTACATCAAGTGGCCTACATGACCTCACACAGTATGGCAAGAGACCAGCCCGGGCCATCAACTGCAAACTATAATAATTTGTATGTACAATTGAAGTTCCTTCTCCTTTTAGTCATGAAAGCTTTTGTTAAACGACCCACCTACCCCATGTCTTTGTATGTAATAAGTCATTTTTGCCTAATGTATATTTTCAGCCTTCGGGCAGCAGAACTTTCTCAATAAACCGTTAATAATAATAATAATAATTATTATTATTATTATTATTATTATTACACACACACACATACAATACAGGTAAAAGAAATTAGTCTCTAGAACGAATGGCTCCCTGTCCTGGCCGCGAAAATGCCAGCAACTTTAAAACTACCCTTAGACATTCTTGGGTATATCCAGGGTGTCATCTGCGAATTATCAGGGCATGCCGTAGAGTATTTAAGAAAAGTTCAGAAAACTCAAGTGGGCTGGGTTTTGTCAAGCATGTCAGGTAGCTAATTCAAAGAGACTCACCATTTGCAGCTGAAATTGGCCATTTTCCACTCAAATATCACATAAAACAACATGAAATGTGTAAAACTTCAAAATCACAACTCAATAAAGTGGTTTCTTTAAAAACTAATCAAATCCCAGCTTTTATTCCACGATTTTAGTCAAATGCAATATACAACAGAACATATAATATTTACAAATCTTAAGTGATATTTCATATTGAGAGTTGCCCTTACTATCATTTGCCTTTGGTGAGACCAATGTTTTCTAATCTTTCTTCTGAGGCATGTTATCACATAGCATTTGCTTTTACCAGTTCAAACTTTATTTTGAATTATTAAGCAAACTCCTGTACAGTTAAGTACTTACCCAGATAGAGGTTCACTAAGCACATGAAAAGTGTTGATAATATCACATCCATTGAACTGTCTTCTTCTTATCCACATGTTCAGTTTATATGAAGGTCCATCAATTGAATCCTGAAAGTGATTAAAAATTTTCACCGTTCAGGGAAGCCTCATTTAAAAAAATGTTGACATCACTGCCATTGCCACTGATATGCTCACCTAATGTTAAAAGAGGTGGGGGAAGGGGATATGGTTATTCATTAAATTTTTTTGTACAAATGAGTAACAGGAACTTTAACCTCATACGGTCACTGGCGGAAATTACGTCATCCTTTGTCATACGCTAATTGGTCACTGACGTAGTTTATGTCATGTTAAGCTAGGGATCTGCAGGCTATGCTAAGGGGGTTCTATGGGTCCAGATCTGTAGAATAACTCATTTTATATAACTTGGCAAATCGTGGTTATAAATAGGTGGTGTGTGTTTGTGGTGAAGGGAGGCGCATTGCATCCCCGCCTTCCACATTGCAGTGGTGTCACATCGCCCAGTGAAAATTTTCAGGCTGCTATCTGAAATGCCACTTTGTGCCTCCAGTGTACATAGTGTATATACTATTGTATATAGTACTGTACAACTAATTTTAGTTATACAGTATTAATAAGTAAATAACATTTGGAAGTGGAAGTGGTAGCAGATATGCTGGCAATGCCCAACTGCCAATGACTTTAATCAGGTAAGGAGCTTGTTGTTGTGTTTTTCACCATTACCGCATGATTCTGGGGGTCCTTTGGGCTGTTATAGCAAACAAAAAGAATGTGGAAAATCTTTGACCATCTGGGCACTACTTAGGTTAAATTAATTGACCATCTTTGGGTTAAAAAAAAAAACCCTCATTTTAAAGCAAGACCAATTTCTCAGGAAATCCTAATCTATAGTATTCCCAGGTAAATGAAGTGAAACAAGCAGCACCATAACATTTACACATCCCTACAGTGCTGCCCCAGGTAACATCTGGGATTCATTCTTCAAAAGTGTGATGGTTATTGAAATGACATTATCAAAAGTAATTTTTCTTATAAAGTAACAAAACATGGGATGAATGCATTCCTAATACTGTATGGCCATATCACCTATTACAGTAATCTCTTGCCAACCATGGGGGTTATGTTCCAGAATTTTCCTGCAGTTAGCAAGGGCACTGTCTAATGGGAAATAACTTAAAATAAGGGGTTTGGGGAAGTGACTTTGAGGGACTTACTTAGTCATCCAGTAGTACAACTTAAGGTTTATAATAAGTACAATATCAGTAAACAGGGTGTATGCTATACATTACAGGCAGTCTGCAATTTATGAAGGTCTAGTTTACAAAACTCTGGAATAATAATAATAAAATAAAATCCCAGATTCTGATTTATGTAAGAAAATCCGTATTTTGATTTTTGTTGTAATTTTTCACAGCATTGGAAGATGCTGATGTGCTGACACAGGCATCTCAGGGCTTCCCATACTTGATCTGGTCAGTTTATTAAGACAATTAATATCAAACTAAAACACAGTACTGTACTGTATTGTATTGTTATGAAACCCCCTTTTTGCCACTTCCTAGCTTCCACCGCTGATTACCGGCGGCCAGGTCGTATAATATATACAGAAGCAGTAAATATATCACGTGTTGTCGAATTACTACTGGCTGTCCCGCCAGTCTCCGGTGATTTCCCGACGATCGGTATCAGTGTACAGTACAGACAAACAACAGGCAGGTGGATTTCCACCAGGCCATAGAAACACACTTGTGAACTGTAGACTTCTTTAATAATCACCAAGTCTTTACAAAACTATTCACTTCACTTCAAATATATATAGTCACGGACTTGAGGGTAGCATGTCACATTTTTAATAAATTTGTTTCTAATTATTTGTGAGAGTATTTTCCCATTACAATACTGTATTATTTATTTGAATGTGTTTTGTGTGTGTCTACACACACACACACACACATCCAGTATATACAATGCAGGTAAAAGAAATAATTGTCCTAAGGGAAAACAAATCAAGGGAATATACATTTCTTTGTACACAAGTAAAAATGTACTCCCCCACCCAAATGTTATTCGTGGCCATTTTGAGAACCTAACCCCTGCGAGTTTGGGGGGCCCCCTGTACAGTATATCGTTTCAAACTTTCTATTTTTATTTAATTATTTTTTTTATTTATGGCCCTTTATTATTATTATTATTATTATGATAACATATATATTTTTCATATTTAAAAAAATTTAACTAATTTTTATTAATTACTATTATTATTATAATTTTGTGCCCAGGCCCTGAGGTGGGTCATTGAGATTGTGCCCTGGTAGGCTAATCTCCCCCCTAAAAAAAAAAGGGGGGGGGGGGTTAAAATCATTTAAGATACAGTATTGTTGACATTTGACGACACTGGGTATTGTCTGAAGTATCAGATACGATACTACTATACCTGTACTATGTAATTTGTTGTTGCTCATAAAATGAACCAAACTAACCAACCTAACCTTCACCTAAACATAATTATTTTATTTAGGTTAGGTGGGCTAGTTTGGTTTATTTGATCAACAATATACTGTACTACATAATTTAACTGCATCTGATACTTCAGAAAGTTCCCAGTACAGTGTATTGTCAATTGTCAACAATGGTGATTGTGATTTTACACCTGTTAAATACAAGATTACCATAATTTTCTTGAGGCCCATTGTTGCCTGAGCAAAGTGATGTTGGTGGATCAAGCTTCCTGGAGCACCCCAGAAGCTAAATTGGTGGAGCACAGTCAGCATTCCCACACCCATGGTTGAATTATAAAACAAACATGGCATAAAGCAGGGCAGGCATTGGTCTCTTTTTCTGGACTGCACAATAATTTGAAGATGAGCCATTCTTCTGTCTTGCTGTACAGAAGTACACTTGAAAACAAACAGGAAAGTAAAATCAGGTATTATTTTCATTTCAAAATACCCTGTATCAATTTCTTGTAATATTTTCTTCTCGGTATCTTAATAAACAACAGTACAGTACTGTATACTGTAATAAAGTCGTTCCCAAAGAATAAGCAAAGCATTAATTTTTAAAGTAGAAATTAAAATAGTTTTTATGTTGAATCTGAGTTTGGGTATTGTTTTATGCCCAATTAGATATATTATTACAAAAATAGTATTTTCTTAAAAGTTTTGGGTTAACGTTACTCTTTAGTCTGTCCACAATTTCATCAACAACACATCACTATTTTGCCATAATTCTTGCTTCTACTGTAATGGTCTCATATTGGGGAAATGCTTTTTTTTCTGAGTTAGGACATGTATTATATAGCATGGTAATGCAATTCAGATCACTCGTGCTACACCCTCCTCCTTCCATGGCTCATCGTAGAGTAACGTTTACCTTCTTTGGCAACCAGATAAACCTTTGAAAATCTTGCCTACCCGGTAACCTTTCCTAACTTGTGTATGTATATTATGTATGTTGTATGTATACCATGTATGTACTCTATATATACACATTATTTCTCTAGTCAGTAGCGTGTGGCAATGCCCCTGTTTCATGTTACCACACGCTTAGATAAATGTGCCTGGCGACATCTGGAAGCTGCTAGTATACCACTTCCCACATGTCGCCCGAGAGGTCAGAGTGAGGTCAGTTGACCCTATAGGAGTGAAAGGACTACCTGCGCTTGTAAGCACACCCCTGTATATTTCCGTTAATAAGAACCTACAGAACTCTACAGGTGTTTATGTTCGCTCATGTAGTTAGAACCAAGTACCCCGAACATCTCCATGGCGCAGTGAGTATCAAGTGATCGATTAAGTGGAAATAAGTGCGTTCATGTAAAATCAAGGCCGTTAGACCTCCTCCGTCAACTCTGTCATCCGTCGCCATTGTCTCCCACAAAAATTCCCTAAGGTGGAAGGCTGATATAGGGCATTTGCGATGAGTGGTGCGTCAGCTCCCAGGCTGCCTCGAGGGTAACTCACCCCCCACCGCCTCGCCTCCCTCCGCACTCCACCGCGCCTACACACACCAACCCAGCACTAACAAACTGACCGCAGTCATTTCTTCATATATATTTTATATATACATATATAAGTTACTTATCTGTGTATTCAATTAATTTTGTTGTCTCAGATCTGGTTGATACGACGGGCTGACCGGTCAACACTGATTTGACATACAATATACAGATAAAGTAATTATGCCCCGGGCCTCACGCAGCGGTGTCCCTAGCGCCCGGATGAGTCAGACGGATGACAGCTCTACAGAGATGGATGACCAGTCAGTGCGCAACGCCCCACCCTCTCCCAGCCACACCCCCCGACCCTTAGCCTCGTCCTCAGAGATAATTGCTCTGATGAAGCTTATGAGGGAGGAAATGCGTCAGGACGAAGCGAAAAGACATACTGAGGACCACCAACGGAGATTGGAAGATAACGAACGGTTTGCAGCTTTGATATCTAGCCTCACTGCTAATCAAGCCCTTGGCCCTTCCACTACTCCGGTACCGACTGGCTCAGATACCTCGTCAATGCCCTCTACCAAAGTGGTTGTCCAACCCCCACCCACCTTGAAGCCTGATGAGACTTTCCAGACTTTTCGTGAGTGGCGGCGACAGTGGACTGATTATGCTACAATGGTGGATCTCCAGAGCTTGCCACAGCCTAAACAGCTCATTCAGCTACGTTTGTGTCTATCTTTGGGAACGCAGCATGTGTTGGAACACACGTTGCAAGTGCCCCCGACGTCTTTGTTGTCTGTAGAGGAGGTACTGGCTGTTCTAGAACGGCACATCAAAGGTCAGCGGAATGAAGCTCTCCGCAGGAGGGAAGTGTTTAGCTGTAGACAGATGGAGGGCGAGACTTTTGACGATTTCTATGTACGACTCAAGAGAGCCTCGGAAGAGATAGACATATGTCCCGGTAATCACCAGCAGTGTGAGGAGACCCAGTTGAAGCAGGTGATCCTGATGGGTGTTAAGGACGAGGAGTTTGTCCAACGCCTCACCTCCCTCGACTCTTCCTCTTCTCTTAAGGATGTGTTGACAATATGTCGCTCCTACGAGGCTGCCAGGTGTGCCACCTCGGCCATCCGAGCTCCCCCTACAGCAGTACGTGCTGTGTCCCGGTACAAGAAGAACAAGAAGTCTGCCACAACGCCTACGCCCGGCTCCCTTTGCAACAGCTGTGGTAGGCAGCACGGAACACAGGTGTGTCCAGCTGCCGAGTCTACCTGTGACAGTTGTGACCGCAAGGGCCACTGGTCACTTACAGTACGGTGTCCAGCCAAACACGTCCAGTGCAATGTGTGTGGTCGTCTGGGCCACTACGACAAGTGTTGTCCGACCAACAAACCTAAGGGACAGCGTCGGCAGAAGCAGCAGCGCCCTTCCACCAGTGAGGGCCGCCCACAGTCGCCAAATCAGAGGCACGACGATCCTGGACAAAGCCCGACCCATATTAGGAGGGTGTACTCCTCGCGTCCCAGGACCAAAGTCCCCCAGCACGTCAGCGTCATCGTGACCTACGGCAATGTGTCATCCTGTCTCGAGATGCTGCCCGACACCGGCGCTGAGGCTACGGTCATCGGTCCCCAGCATTTGCAATGCTTGGGGCTCTCTCCAAGCGATCTAGGACCGCCTCCCAAGGACCTCTGCGTCACAGCAGATGGTTCACAGATGGCCCCAGCGCTAGGTTCACTCTATGCACATGTCACCTTTGGCAACAGGTCGTGTCAAGCCTGGATTGACGTGCATAATGGTGTCCCGACTCCTTTGCTGTCCTACAGACATTGCCAAGAGTTGGCCATCATCTCCCAGGACTTCCCAACACCGATTCTTGAGGTAAAATACGCCAACAGGGTGCACGAAGGGAGCAGCAACTACCCTGCTGCCGCCCTACCCCTACCTCTGGCCAGTGACACCTCTCCTTCGGTAGTTGTCCCTGCTGCTTCACGTCTCCACGCCTTGGCTCGCCTCCACGACAGTCACTGTGGAGCCGAGGCCACCAAACGGCGTGCAAGACAGACTGTGTTCCGGCCTGGCATCGACCCCGACATCTCCAATGCTGTCCAGGCGTGTAAGCCCCGCCAAGTACTACAACCCAGCCAGCAGCAGGAACCCTTCATGAGTGACGACAACCCCACCCGCCCCTTTGAGTCTGTGTCGGCCGACTTTTTCTGTGTGTCAGGAGAGTCCTTCCTGGTTATCGTCGACCGTCTCTCTGGTTGGCCGGTTGTCATCAAGTGCGGTAATGATACGACATCTGCCGCCACCATCAGTAAGTTCCGCCACTACTTCCGTTACGTGGGCGTTCCTGCGCGCCTGCGAACCAACGGAGGGCCCCAGTTCACAAGCCGGGACTTTGCCGTTCCTCGACCGATGGGGAGTCCGGCATGTGTTGTCACCGCCTCATTACCCGCAGTCCAACGGCCATGCTGAGGCTGCTGTCAAATCCCTGAAGCACCTCATCCTCAAAGTGGCCCCTTCTGGGAATATTGACTGCGAGGCCTTCGACCAGGGTCTCCTTGAGCTCCGCAACACACCCAATTACACCGGACGCTCCCCTGCCCAGGTCTTGTATGGACGCCCCCTCCGTTCTTGTGTCCCTGCTAACCCTCAATCCTTCTCCAAGGAGTGGCAGGCCAAGACAGAGGATTGTGATCGCCGAGCCGCCGAACGTATTCAAGACGTCGTCGCCCGCCACAACGACCACGCCCGTCCTCTCCCCAGGTTGAGTGTCGGCACCCAAGTCCGTGTCCAGGACCCGACCTCCCTACGTTGGGACAAAGTGGGCTTAGTCATGGGTCTCGGCAGGTCACGGGACTACCAGGTGCGGTTACCCAGCGGTCGGGTGTGGTGGAGGAACCGCCGTTTCCTCCGCCCCGTAACGCATCCCATCCCGCTGACCCCATCACCAGTGCTGAGTCCCACATTCCCCCCAGTGATTAAGTCCCTCGACGCTCAGAACGGATCCACAGGAAAAGGTCTGCTCAAGACTTTGCTATGAGCGTATAGAGGGGGGGGGGAGGTGTATGTATATTATGTATGTTGTATGTATACCATGTATGTACTCTATATACACACATTATATCTCTAGTCAGTAGCGTGTGGCAATGCCCCTGTTTCATGTTACCACACGCTTAGATAAATGTGCCTGGCGACATCTGGAAGCTGCTAGTATACCACTTACCACATATCGCCCAAGAGGTCAGAGTGAGGTCAGTTGACCCTATAGGAGTGTAAGGACTACCTGCGCTTGTAAGCGCACCCCTGTATATTTCCGTTAATAAGAACCTACAGAACTCTACAGGTGTTTATGTTCGCTCCTGTAGTTAGAACCAAGTACCCCGAACATCTCCAACTTAACAAATTGCTTTGGAGTTTATAGATCCCTCCTCATCTGGGTACCAAAAAATAACACCATCACATTCTAAAAATGGAAAATGTGAATAAGGAAAACATTTTTTAGTTTTAGGATTTTTAAAGGTTAGGAAAGATTAGGTAAGGTTTTTAAAAGTTTGTGTAGCTTTTTTTGTGTGTGTATTTTACCCCACATTTTCCTACTACTTCAAAGCTCTGCCCATTTTGAACAAGTAATATTGTTGGTAATTTTATCGGTTAAAATACTCGAAAATATAAATTTTCAGCGAGCCATGAGAGGAGGAGGGTGCTGCCACATGGGTGGTCTGAATCGCATTACCATGCTATATAATCCATGTCCTAACTCCGGAAAAAAGAAAAAAAAAATGCATTTCCCCAATAAAAAAAACAATATCTAATGACAATACTGTAGAAGCAAAAATTATGGCAGAATAATATATTGTTGCTGAAATCGTGGACGGACTAAAGAGTAATGTTAACAATGTTTTGTTGTGAATTTCCGTAACATGGAGATTTTTACAGCCACTACCCCCATCTCAGTAACAGTAAGTTACCCCACAGTAGGTGTTAGGTTAAGGTCAGGTTAGGTTAAAGTTAGGAAAGGTCAGGTTAGGTTAAAGTTAGGTTAAAGTTAGGTTAAAGTTAGGTTAAGGTTAGGTTAGGTTTGGCTAGGTTAACTTGAACTTATAAATAAACATTTAAAAAAAAATTGCCATAGCTACGACAGTGTCCATTATAAAACACAGTGAAATTGCAGCGTTTTTAAATTCTTTTTCTATGAAAAAACAGCAGCTGTGAAGTCGTAAATAATTACCAAGATTTTAACTAATATGACCTTTATTTTGGGGGTTAATGCTTAGTTAATGAATCTTTGTCTTTTGAGGGAATTAATGATTATTTTATGATAGGATCCATTTAACACTGGTAACGACCATGAATCATTCCAAAGTGAACAGGACTTTGAAGATACAGTAAGGCAAAAGCTGGGTTACAACACTAAAAAAAAAAAAGCACCAATAGAATCTTTGGTTTTGAGCAGGCAGCGTCCTGTCTTGTCATGTAAACAGAGCATCACAAAGCTTGCCAGAGCTATATGCTCAGGC